TTACCTTACCTTACCTTACCTTACCTTACCTTACCTTACCTTACCTTACCTTACCTTACCTAACCTTACCTTACCTTATTTTATTTTATTTTATTTTATTTTATTTTATTTTATTTTATTTTATTTTATTATTATCATTTTATTTTATTTTATTTTATCATTTTATTTTATTTTATCATTTTATCATTTTATCATTTTATCATTTTATCATTTTATCATTTTATCATTTTATCATTTTATCATTTTATCATTTTATCATTTTATCATTTTATCATTTTATCATTTTATCATTTTATCATTTTATCATTTTATCATTTTATCATTTTATCATTTTATCATTTTATCATTTTTTTTATTTTATTTTATTTTATTTTATTTTATTTTATTTTATTTTATTTTATTTTAATTTTCTACAGCTGCTACACAAAGCACTAACATTTTCATCAAGCTGTCCCCTGACACCTCAAGGTGAATTTTGGAGATAATATTATTCGCTATCCAATAGCCAATATATTTAATAACATTTTATACCATTTTCCCCAGAAAGATGTGTGAGGATGAGGAAAAGGAACTTTCCAAAAAGACACAGACATAAAGACACAGTTCTCTAAATTACAATGAAGTTTATTGCAAAAGTGCTTTCTAAGTAAATAATTTCTCCTTATTTCTAATACACACCATGACTTTACCCTATCAAGCTAACTAGATTACAGTTTCTTTATCAACTTCTTTATAAAAATAGAGGTTGCATTAAGTTCCAGTTCTTGGTGAGAGAAGTCAATGTAAAAAAGAAGTTGGACATTTTTTGGTGAGATCAAGAATTTTATATTTTTGAATTTTAAGAACTTCAAGGAAGATATACGCTGGACCCATAGATATGGATCAATTTCAGGTAGTCAGCTTAATGTCTAATTTCATCTCTTTTGAAATCTATTGATCAATGTTTACGGTAAAGTGTTTATTTCTGGTGCCTGTTCTGATCCTCATCTTGGTACCCACTTCCATACCTCATTAAATCCTCTGTGCCACATAATCAGGTTTTCATTAATCAGAAGCTCTTTTCCTTCTGGAGCATCTGGATCCAGCTTTCCCACTTTCACTCTCTGGAAAGATGTGTTTGGGAATGTGATCATGTTAAGGATGTCAAATCCACTCTCCATTTCCCTTTTATTATTGAAAGACACACTTTCTGCAGCTGAATTGTTGAATGAAATACCTTGAAGAATCGGATGGAACTAGACAAAAAGGAAACAGTGAAAACTGAGGGAAAGTACTGAAAGTACTGTATGTGTGCTTAAAATAACATATTAGAAAATTCATATGACTCTTTCAACACTTGATTTTCCCATGTAATTTCTAACAATGTACAGTATATTTTTCCATTTCTCCTCTAGATCATGTTGGACTGACCATATTATGATTATTTGGATACAGTGTTCTGAACTAAGAAAGCCTATTGTGGGGTCAGACCATGTCCAGATCACCCTTTAGTTTGGAGGATCAACATTCAAAAACCCATCACCCATGAAATAGTGCATATGGCTTTGTCCAGAAAAGCAGTGTTCTAGAATTCTGCCAGAACTTTATTTTCGTAGGATAATTGTTCTTTACATCCCTAGTAAATTCAGTTAATGTTGATGCTGGAAATTGAAACATTACCCAATAAAGCCTTAAATACTTAAAAAAGATAGTTATTTACTAATCTTTTCACACACACACACACCCCGCCCTCAGTCATATATAGGAATGGGTCAGGGTGAGGGCTATCCAAAAACTATCTGGAAGTCCACCAAATCTCATCAACTGAGATCCAAAGATTAATGTGAAAACCCAAGGAATTTTTGATAAACACTAGGTAGAATTCCATTTAATATGCTATCCATGTGAAATAAACAAAAATCCTGGATAAATAATGTATTTATAGTAAAATCTGTTCGTCGAAATCTGTTCCATCTTGTTGTGTACGTTACCTGCCAAGGATGGAATTGTTGGTGTTCAATATATTTCTGCTTCATCTTTTTGTTATTGTTCAATCTATGGGAGTACATGGCATGCAAAGAATGAGCTAATGTATAGACAGCATTATAGATACTGTAACTATGACCAGTCATGTCCAATTCAAACTGAGGTCTAGGAAGATTTTCCAGCCTCTCTTCGCCACTGCACCTTTCATTTTCTTTTGTTTGCTCACTGGAATTGGGCAAAATGCAGTCAAAGGCTTGTTTCCAGATGTCCTGGATAAAACCATCTCCTTCAGTAGAGGAAGGAGTGATGGCTTGCAGATATTCCTTGAACTCTAAGTTATCTTTTGCATGAATGGAAAAGGAAATAGAACCATGGAACAACTCAAGATCCCACCCCTTTTGAACACCAGTTAATATTAAATCAATTTGGGCTGTCAAGATCCACACTTTTCTAAATGATGAATAATTCTGATTTCTAGGACCCATAATGAACATAACAATTCTCAGCCAAGAAATGGTTAAACATTCCCCATAGATGACAATAGTATTGGTTTTATCATCTGTAAAAGCTTCACAAATATTTACGGCTATAATAAGCATTCCTTGGAAGTTACTCATATTTGGTTGATGTGGGATCTTTTGTGTGAAGGAGGAACAAATTCCATTCTCAGAAAGCAGAGACTCCATGGTTTGCAGGAAATGTTCTCCGCTATTATCATCCATCACAAAAATCCCAACCCAGGTCCATCCAAAGTATAGAAGCAAATGGACAATTCCTTTGCACTGAAGGGCCTCGTTGGTGACCATGCGATAAAACAAAGGGACCGCAGCTGAAGAAATCTCCTCTGGGGCCACAGAGCCATAAGTGAGCTAAAAGAAAGATTGGAATAACGACAAGTAGCTTTCCTTGTTGGAAGGATCATGAATTGAGAGAAGTAGCTGAAGCCTGAGTTACATATAGTCTCACTACCGAAAGAAATATTATAACGGTTATCACTGTTAAAGCCCTTCATGGCACAGGACCAGGTTATCTGAGGAGCCATCTTGCTCCCATTATATCTGCCCACCCTACTTGGTCAGACAGAAGTGGCATGTTGCAGACCATGCCAGTCAAGGAATTTTGGTTGGCAGTGTCTAGGAAGAGGGCTTTTTCTGCCATGGGCCCTGTTCTGTGGAACAGCTTGCCAGCTGAGGCCCAAAATGCCCCCACTCTCCTGGCCTTCTGAAGAGGTGTAAAAACATGGCTATGCCAGATGGCCTGGGGGCCTGATGGAGGCTTGCAATGTTGGAACTGGCTGGTGGGATGATTGATACTGCTTCCCCCATCTTCTTGAATTGAATACTGCTTTTATAGATTTGTTACTTGTGATTTTCATTGGGGGTATTTATATTTTTATTGTTTTATTGTCTTGGTTTTTAATTGTAAGCCACCCAGAGTCACCCTCTGGGGAGATGGGTGGCATATACATTTAATAAATGAATAAATAATAAATTAAAATAAAGCACGGCAATAGCAAATGTTGATGCGTTTACTTAGCTTAACATGGAATTGAAGACACTTTTTCTGCTCAGAGAGGAAAAATGTTCCAGTTTTCTTTAACCGTTGGAGTATTTAACAGCTGCTTATGCAATCAAATACAGACTTCAAGAAATTTAACCTGAAGTATCAGTTGAAAAAAAACTCAGAAGAATGACCCCTGATCTTGAAAAAGCAACATAGGGCCATATATGGATCATACTTACTGTAGTTGGGAGCCCAAGAAGAACTCTCAGAACACAACAATGGCAAACCACTACATAGATCTACCCATTCCACAAGAGCTGAGTGTGGGGTCAGAGAGGTTTCCTTTCTGCTTGTGTCAAAGATACTGTGGCGGATATGAGTTTTCCAGACAGATTTATTCAAAAAAGCATCTTGGCAATCCTATCATCTATAATGTCAGTAGGGGAAAACTTTGACCCATCTCAGGGAACCTAATCTCTATTATGAGCTTCTCTTCAGATATTGGGCCCATTAAAGCAAAAGGTATTTCCAAAAGAGAAATGTAGATCCAGGAAATTGAGCAGCTACTCAAATCAGAATTTTCTCCTTTTGGACTGAAAATAGGAGGCTATTTTTAAACAAATTATTATTATTATTATTATTATTATTATTATTATTATTATTAT